ATCAATAGGTCATCCAGACAGAAATCTAAAGACAGGAAGGAGTGGCCTTAAATGAAGTAATCAGTTGAGCTTAATAGGCATGTACAAAGCTCACATCCCAAAATAAATACATATATTTTTTTTCTTTCAAGTGCACTCAGAACATGGTCAAGTTTACATCAAATATTTGGATATTAAACAAACTTTAAAAATACAGGGGAATTGAAATTAGTTCAAACATCTTTTCTAATTGCAGTGATACAAAGCTAAAAATCAATAACATAAAAGAAAGACAAAAACAATCTCAAACATATGGAGACTAAACTGAATAATTCCTGAGTCAAAACAGATATCAAAGGAGAAAGAAAAACTATCTGGAAACCAGCAACAATGGAGATACAAGATATCATATTCTATGAAATTCAGCAAGATTGGTGCTGAGAGATGCACATAGCAATACACGTCCATACTAAGAACAAAAGTCTCAAACAATATAACTTTACATCTGAAGGGAACAGGAAAAAAAAATTAAACCCCAAAGAGGCAGAAGAAAGGAAATAATACAGGTTGAGAGGAAATAAAAAAAGAAAGAAGACAACATAAAATATCAAATGAAAATACCAAAATGCAACAGATGCCAGAATGCAAAGGACCGTTAAGAGACTATTATGGATATCCATATACAAACAAGTTGGATAACCTAGAAGAAATGGACAAATTTTTAGTATCATATAATCTTCAAAGACTGAATAGACATTTTAAATGTAACTATCATAATCATAGAAAGAGTAATCACTCCTTCTCCCCAAACAAAAGCCCAGGACCAGATGGCTTCACTGAAATCTACCAAACTTTCAAAGGGGATCTAATACCTAGTCTTCCCAAATTCTTCAAAAAATATTGTAGAAAAGGGAAATTTGCCAACATAGTTCATAAAACCAGTATTACCCTTCCCCAAACTAGACAAGAATAACACACAATAAGGAAAGCTCTGGTAAACATGGCTATGAAGATCCTTAACAAAATATTGGCAAATCAATTCCAACAATATGGTAAGAGAATCATACATCATGATCAAATGGGATTCATCCCAGGGTGCAAGGATGTCTTAAAATACATAAGTCAATCGGCCCTCCCTGGTGGCGCAGAGGGTTAAAGCACAGCACTAAGAAGCTAAAGCCACTTCTGCATGAGTTTGATTCCCACCTGACTCAGAGGTGACCACATGACCTCTCCTGACCCGCCCGCTGCTCCCCTCAGCAGTGTACTTCATCTATCTGCCTGTTCTGCTCCCCACTCTGTCTCTGGTGAATCCTCTCACCCTCCACATCCACTGTACCCCAGTTCTATATGAATAAATAAATAAATCTTTTTAAAAAAACAATACGTAAGTCAATCAATGTCATTTACCACATTAACAATAAAAAGCTAAAAATCAATGTTTATGTTATTAGATGCTAGAAAATTATCAACAAGATTCAACCCACTCTTATTTATTGCTGATTTTACAAATATATTTATTATATCAACCCTCATTTTTGTACAATGTAAGGTTTCCCTGTGCACCATCAACATAGTCCTTTGTGCTTTTCCCACTCCTGTCCTGATCCTTCTTCCTCTTCCTCCCCTACAGAATGACTCTGATCTATAGTTGCCTGATGGTTTTTATTTTTACTATATTATAGTTACATTTTTTTTCTGATTCCTTTTTTGTTTCTTCTACATTCCTCCTACAAATGAGACCATTCGATATTTTTCTTTTTCTCTCTGGCTTATTTTGCTGAGCACTCAACACATTCTTACGATTAAAAAAAAATCTCACTATAGATATTGAATAAAAGGAATATATTTCAATATAGTTAAGGCCATAAATGGTGAACTCACTGCTAACATCATACAAAAACTAAAAATATTTTCTCTAAAATCAGGAAATAGGTAGGTTTGGTCACTATTAGCATCATTGTTCAACATAGTATTGGAAGTGACTTCTAAGAAGTAGGCAAGGACAAGACAGGAAAGTAATATTCACTGAAAAGTAGTATAACTATCACTATTTGCAGATGATATAATATACATAGAAAATATAAAGAACTGTTAGGAATAATGAAATAATATAGAAAAGAGACAGGATACCTGAAAATATACAAAATCTGTTGCATTTTTTTTGTGCAAACAAAGACTCAGAGGAGGGAGAAATTAAAATAAGCTCATTTGCAGTCACACAAAAAGGGATGAAAAACCTGGGAATAAACTTAACAAAAAAGATGAAGGAACCAAACACTGAAAGTTTAAAGAAGATAAAGGACCTAAACACTGAAAACTCGAAGACACTGTCAAAAGAAATAAAAGTAGACACAAGGAAATGTAGAAATACCCCATGTTCATGGACTGGAAAAATAAACATTGTTAGAATGGTTGTATTATTTAAAGCAATTTATAGATTTGATACCTGTTACATTTCCAATATTTGCATGGATCTACAAAAGGCACTAAGTAACCCATGAAATAATCAGAGTAAATAAGAATAATGAAGGCATTGTGCTCCCTAATTTCAAAGCAATACTAATGAAAATAAAATATTGGAACAAAAATAGAAAGACATACCAATGGAGTTGAATACAGGGCTCAGAATTGAACTGCACAATATGAACAATTCAGTCCATAGCAAAGGATCCATGCTCACAGAATAGAAAAGGAAAGTCTTTCTAACAAATAGTGCTGAGAAACTTGGACATCACTTGCAAAAGTAAAAAGAAAGAGTAGCCAGATCATTATTCAGCTTCATACACAAACAGTAGTTCAAAATGGATTAAAGACTTTGAAATTAAACTTTCAGCCATTTAATAACTGGAAAAAAAAAACGTAAGTGATATGTCATGGACATCAAACTTGGGTATATTTAGGAACTCAATTTCAAAAGACTAGGGAAAGACAAGCAAAATCAAACAAATGGTACTGCATTAAAAAAAAACGTTTTGTAACATGAGCAAACAGACAATTTAGAGACAGCAAGAAAATATTAACAAATGAGTTAATTGCCCAAGTACATAAATAACTCACATAAATCAACCCAACCAAAAAAAAGGGGGACAAAAGATTTAGACTTGTCCAAAGATGACATAAAGATGACATATAGGTACATGAAAAAATACTCAATATACTTATAAGGTAAATACAAATCAAAATCACAATGGAATGTCATCTCATCCTTGTGTGTGTGTATTTATAGTGGTGTTCAGAGGGCTGCAGGACCATGGAGTATTTTCAAACCAGACATCAATACTTACAAAGCAGCAGTAATTAAACAATACTATATGAATTTTACTGACTGACAGAAACCTGGAATAGAGAAAAAAAAATTCTGGTAGGTACCTAAAGGAGTTTTCTTTTTTTCCTTTATTTATTTATTTTTTTGAGCTAACATTGTTTACATATTGTTTGTGTTTGGTGTATTGGTTCCACCCCACTCCCACCCAAATTTAAGGTGTTGCTACCATAGTGCATACACCACTGAGGTATCCATAGTCCATGACCTTATTCCCTGTGTTCCTTCGGTACTTTGTTCTCACTGCTCCCCCTCCTCCGCTCAGTTCTATAGTCAGTTTACAAGAGTTAGTTCTTAATTTTAGCTTTATCTGACCCTTGTTTTCACTAGAGTCCAAATATAAGTGACATCATCTAGTATTTGTCTTTCTCTTAGCTTATCATGATCCCTTCCAGCTCTACCCATGTTACCACAAATGGT